AGCATCCAGACATGATGAGACAATTGAAACCTTCTCAGAAAGCGTCCAGGTGTGATGATACAAACAAAATGTTGTCAAAAACCGTCAAATGACGAGACAAAGAAAATTTTGTCAAAAAGCGTCCAAACGTGATGAGACAGATGAAATATTGTCAAAAAGCATCCAGACATGATGAGACAATTGAAACCTTCTCAGAAAGCGTCCAGGTGTGATGATACAAACAAAATGTTGTCAAAAACCGTCCAATGACGAGATGAAGAAAATTTTGTCAAAAAAGCGTCCAAACGTGATGAGACAGATGAAATATTGTCAGAAAGCGTCCACACCTGATGAAAAATAAAACATTACCAAAAAGCGTCCAGTTCTAAAGGAGCAAATAATATCTTATATACCTACAAATTCGTAATAAATAAAGGTGTTAAACAGTATGCGTGAGTGTATATTTTAAAAAGAGAGAAATGGACTGGAGGCATCTTTTCGTTTTATTTGGTTCTCAGAAAGTGACATAGTCTTTTTTCTGTACATTGTGGTCAAGATTTATCAACAGAAGGTGGTGTAACAGTTTCAGTAATGGTATACATGATTTGGCTGAACAACACTGATACAGAATACTTGACTGCAGAGTTTCCACTACGTCTGTATTATCGTCGATTATATAATCTTCTAACACCTCAGTAACTCACGCTATAAACCTGGATAAATTTTATGTAACAATAAACAATCGAGTTGGAGATATAAAACATTTAGTTGTACATCTAATTTGCACTAGTGCATCGTAGATTGCAGCGCCATCTCTTGTTGAAACATAATTAAAATAATTTAAACTTCTAACTCAAAGGACAGAGAATTAAGAATACATATATGTGAGAAATTGATCGCATGATCCTTAATGATGTCATGAAGAGAACTGGCGTTATGTCAGGTTCATCCTGATGACTTCCTTTTAAAGTTGTATGTTTGTTTAGACTGCGTCTGTAAACATGATTACTAAGAAATGTATATGACAATGTCAAATTTGAAAAAAGTAATGCTAAAAATGGAGCGTGAGCCGCTTATATTATTTTCAGCCGTAGCACACAAATCGTTCATCCAATGCAAAGGTATAAACGTTTTCATTCTGCGTCGGTTTCGCGTATTTTGCCACCAATCTCTTTATTCAGTTGAGTTCTCAAGCACGATAAATTATACAATCCAAATGACTGTCATAGTCGAACCGTTCAACCAATTGCTTATCCATTTAAACTAGATGTTTAGGAAGTCCACCTTAGTTTCCCCTTTCCAATTATATGAAAACTGGTTGAGCCAGTTCTCCACGACAATATTAAGTTTAAAATAATAGTTTTTATCAAATCCTACAAAAGAAAGATAACTCCAAAGTTAAATTGGAATCAAATATCCAACTTCCAAAAATACGAAACTTGGTTCTAAATATATTATGTAAAAAGACTCAGTTCCTAACTTCAGAAACTTCAAATACACCAAAGATCAATGGAAAGAAATAGTTGAATGATCAAAACTGAAGACAAAAGTAAAATGGTATAGAAAGTGATAAGTATAATTTTTGAATTGAAATAAAAAAAGAGAATATTATAATCAGTATTTAATTTATTCAAATCAGTTACAAAATTCAACAAATTAAGAAGAAGTAAATAAACATTTACAATAATTTGTCCACCAGTCGATACGTTTATGGATCTACAGCGCGAAAATTGGTGGTTCAATTCCCTATGGTGAACAGAGTGCAAATAGCTCATTGTGTAGATTTGCGCCAAAAGATTGGTTTGTTATGAATTTCGAGCAAAGCTACACGAGGGCTATCTGCGCTAGCCGTCCCTAATTTAGCAGTGTAAGACTAGAGGGAAGGTAGCTAGTCATCAATACCCACCGCCAACTTTTGGGCTGCTCTTTTACCAACGAATAGTGGGATTGACCGTCACTTTATAACGCCACCACTGCTAAATTAGGGACGGCTAGCGCAGATAGCCCTCGTGTAGCTTTGCGTGAAATTCAAAACAAACAGACAACTATATGTCCTCCTATGGGCTATTACGTGAAATTTGACGATTTTTTTTGCACGGTTACAAATTAGTGTGTGATTATTTACCTTATCTTGTTTTCATTATAGAATCCATCTCAACTACCTCCCTGTTTTTCTTGCTATTAAATGAAAATATAGTTGTCTTGTAGTAGTGTTTTCTTTTTTAATAAAAGATCTGGTATGAACGATTGGTTGGACGCTGAACTTTCAATCCGTGGGATCGAGACCCGTCGCCGAACATGCTTGCTTTTTCACCTATGGAGATTTTATAATCCTATTATTCGTTGGTAAAGAATAGCCCAAAAGATAGCGGTAAATGATGTTTATTAGCTGCCTTCCTTCTAGTCTATCACTTCAAATTAAGGAAGGCTAGTACAGATAGCCCTCAAGTTGACTTGGCGCGAAATTCAACAAATAAACAATCTTCGGCTACAATATAATTTAAATATATACACATTTAATTAAATTGGATACGGCTCACAACTTAAGCATAACTATTTTGCTATAATTTAAGACTCTGGTAAGAATAATAATTCCTGTGGTATGTTTTCAATAAAGTAAATAAGTTTGCTGTCTGTAGGGGAAATTAAAAATCTAGGAAGACCCCGATGCTTCCCGAAACGGATAGCAGATGGCGCTCGAAACACGATTGCTAGTGCATTTCTATGTTTTGTGAATTTATTTAAAATGAGTAAGTTATCGATAAAGGTATTGTTGGAAAGCTGCATCTTTTACTTACAGTAGACAGTTGTCGTCATTATTATTAAAATCACCTAAACTTGCTGCGGTGTGAAGTGCTAAATTGAACAAAACCCATTGAGAACAATGCATATGGCATATGGTTTGTGAAAATATTATAAACTCTTCATCTCGAAAAGCCCTACAGGACTGAATAAAGATTGTAGCATTTTATCAAGCCTAATACTAACGTCTTATCACAAATATAAATAATTATCATTTAGATTCGTTTAAGATAGAACATTGGCTATTTATAATAATTACTTTCTTTTTGTGCAATCTTAATTTTGGGATTTTTGAAGAATTTATTGAAATAAAAAAACGCTTAAAACCTCTGTATCTTCCATACAATATTCGATTATTCGTAACATAAGAACATGTATAACTTTGAAAGTGTAAGTATTGTAAGAAAGAAAAAAGTTCCGCTATTTTCTGTCGTTTGATACCATGATGGTATTTTCAATGTGATTTCTCAGTTCACCAAAACATTTTGCATTGATCGAAAAGTAATATTCCGCAATGAAAAAAAGTGCAAATTTGTTAATTTTCACGCAAAGCTACCTAAGGGCCCAAATTCGATGACGAGGAACCCACTTTGAGATTAATATGATGTAATAACGTAATGATGACCTGATGATGACAAAACTTTGTCGAAACGTTGTACATTTGCTGTTATGTTAAACTCATATTAAAGTTTTTTTTCATTACCCATTCAAGCCGTCTCCAGCCATTATTACCTAAGGGCTATCAGCGAAGCCGTCCCCACAGGAAAGGCCGTTAGTCAACAGCATCCATTGCTAACTCTTGGTTACTGTTGCCTGACCGACTAGTGAATTTTAACCGTCATTCTTCAAGAGTTCACGGCCACGAAGTGCGGAGCGTGTTTTCGCGGCAAAGGGAAGCAAATTATAAACGCCCATCCAACCGATATTCTTGGTGTATGATGCTCGTTCATAAAAGTTATTAAGGGCGTGTCGTTGAATTACGTCAGTGATATTTTTATAGGGTAGGGTTTCAACATCTTATTCTACATCACTAACAATTATTTTCAGGGATACGAATACACGACGGAAAAATCCGACGAAAATCGAAACACCTCCATAAGAAAAGTGCTCATAATTTTATCCCCTTTGTTTTCTTAGTTCTTCCTGTGAATAACGACAAACATACAGATGTTTTTAGAATATAACTCCTGGTAAATAACTAGAATATTTAATGATATAAGTGTAGTATTCTCAGGTGCTCTAATTTCCACCATTAGTGACAAAATAGGTTCCAAAGAAGACAAATTTGAATTCTCTGACTTTGAAGAATGAAAGAGACTGTACACAATATAAAACGAGCCGAAAGAATATTTACACTCAAAATCAGTCAAGGTGTGTGTGTGTAACTGACACAGGATAGCACCTTTACTGGAAAGAATTTTCTATATTTAAGTTGTTTCAAACTGAGGATGGATAGCATTATAAATACAAAACAACAATGCTAGTACTCTCAAGCTGGTTGCACTACCCACGTGATTGTGGCCATTCCTATTGAAACATAAGGGTGACATCACTTGACTGGTTAGGAAGAAGGTCACTGTTTACTTCTACGCATAATATATACAACAAGAAAGATAAAGATGATACTTTAGGTAAATGACTTAGAACACTAGATCAAATGTTTGTTTTTGGTTTGTTGAATTTTGCAGGAAGCTACTCCAGGGCTGTGCTAGCAGTCTCTAATTTAGAAGTGATAGCGGGAAGGCAACTAGTTAACACCACCCATCACCAACTCTTGAAATACTCTTTACCAACGCCCACAAGGCAAGCATGTCCAGTGATGAGTTTCAGTCCTGTGACCCTCTGATTGCGAGTCGAGCACCCTAACCACTAAGCCATGCCAGGTCAACTCAGCTCACAAGTCAAGCATGTCCAGTGATGAGTTTCAATCCTGTGACCCTCTGATTGCGAGTCAAGCACCCTAACCACCAAGCCATGCCAGGTCAACTCAGAACAAATGGAACTGAGCAACTTTCTTGATCAAAGTTCTATATTAAAATTGCATATAGTTGAATAACTGAAAGTAGAAAGTAGCATCAGGCAGGAAACTAGTGTAACTTTCTCATACTTCTGTAGAAACACTTGTATAGTAACCCATCCTTTTAACAATAATTATCTAGAAAGCTACAGGCTTAATAGAGAATAATTAATTTCTGTTTTTTTTTTAGAAATTTTTATTAAATAATTATTACATTTTTAACAAATTACAGATTAACAATAAATATATTTATTGCTAAGAATTAAATCTGCATTTCCTTGCAACAATGGCAGTGCTACTATGAAATTTAAACACGTTACTGTAGAAAAATGTTAACTATTTACACTAAAAATACAATCATAAAATGCTACACTAAGAAGGAGAACATTGCACATATATTCTTTGTTTACTCGACTTTCTTTTCTGTATGTTTCTTGTAGAGTATCTGCTACACATACCGTAGGGTAGTCACTAGAGTTCTTCAGGATTTTTTCCACTACATGTTGACCACTTGCACGTTCATTTCCTACTTGAAGGTTGAATAAACTTGCAACTGTCATGTCTTTCATGCTGTAGAAATTGGGTTCTTGTTCTCTGTTTAACATACAAAATAGCATTGATTCTATAGAAGCTTGAATTAGTAGAAGTGGAACATGAGATAGATGTTTTGGTCGAGAAACCTTCTGCTCAGCCACATACAGATCAGCATCAGGCAATATTTCCAGAGCATATTTTGCCTAGAATTAAGAAACCAAAGTTAGGTTGTTACAATAACTTCTTTTTTTTAAAAAATATTACATTAAACTAAGATAAATACATAGCTATACACATAAAATATTTATATGTAATATGGTCAATTATGAGTGCTTGCAAAAATGTTTTGAAGAGGTTGCAAAAACTGGAAGAAAACATGTACAATGAAAAATCATTAATTTTCCACTGAGTAACTAAAATTACAGTGGTCTTTGTTCATCAGTGTAGAGAAGTTATTACACATTATAATTATCTTAAAAAATGTTTACTCCAAAATTTTTTCCAACTTTTCTTTTTTCGTCATTCATAAGTCATGGTCAACAACAACGAAAAAAAAAAAGTCCAATTTTTCTATAAGAATCTTCAACACTGGAAACCACTGTTGACAAATCTAATAGCAACTCTCTCTGTACTATGTCCACATTTTGTTTTGTAATTACAATAAAAACAATTATTCATTTCATAAATATTATCATCACAATATAGTAGTACGTCAACTAAACTAAATGTGGGTTGAAAAGACTCAAATCACTGCTACATGTTTTCATAATGGTATATCTATTTTTCACATCTTTAATGAATCGCCAACACTAATCTCAGCTGAGTTATTTACAATGAATGACCAGTAAAGGGTTAACACCAACCAAGACCAAAACCTCTGCAAGTTTTAACACAGCTAAACTGAGAAAATTAATTTAGAAACACGTAATGAAAAACAACAAAAACTAGTGCTTTTCATAATAAAAAAAACAAAAAACCAACTCCAAGTTGCTTAAAAACTCAGTTCTGAAGAGTGAAATTTAAAGAAGATTACTGTTTTTGCTGTAAAAAATATAATAAGAATACCCACAAAAACATCCAGATTGGAAGAAAGTATAATTCCAAGAACTTAAATATAAAATACATTAAAATCATCCCCAGTAATAATACAGTTTCAATCAACAACAAAACTGATGAAAGATAATTGCAAGGAGTTATTTTATAGAGGGAGCTGTGCAGGTTAAAGGATGTATACTTTTGAGCCTTGAGAGTGAGAAACTAGAAATACTAGTAATTATATATGTTAGCATTCTTCTGGTGGAGAAAAGTATGGCTTTGGTATTATTAACATTTGCAAGCAGTTCTTTTAATATATTGTAATAAGATTAGTTAGGATTAGGCATTTTATTAGTGCAGACAGAGCTAAGTTACTACATTAGACTTAGAAATAATAGATGGCTTTTACTGATGTCACGACATCTGGGGTTTTTCCCAAGCCATCACCATCTTGTTGGCCAAGTTTAAATAACCATAACAAGCCAATAAAGTATTGTTTAATTAAGCATGTAACAATTTTGTTTCAGTATTTAAATATACATTTATAACAATAAAGTATTGAAACAAATTGATTCATTGATACAAGTCTCAATTGTCTTTATTTCATTTGTCTAAACTGCAGAAAAAAATCACTGATTTGATAAACACAAAACATTTATTTAGGTAGTTTTCTGCATTATGGGCAATAATAAATCAGAATGTTTAAATACAAAATTAATAAACTGAATTAGAATTGTATAGCTTTGTATAATATAAAACTTTGGTATTGGAGTCTCATTGTAATTTATGTAACATTTTTTTTTTTTTACAATTGAGGACAATTAAAGCACTACCAACACATTATTCCTACCAAATTGATTATTAAGTATTACTTAAAAATTTACTCATCCTTTTAACTTTTAAGCTTTAATTGTGAAAATTCCTCACACTATTTGTTCCATTGAAATACTGCTAACAAGAAATCAATTTTTTAAAACTAAATTTTAATTTCCTTTTACATCAAAGCTCATATATATCATACACACCCATCACATCGGTGGTAAATAAAAGAACAGTATACACTCATACTGGCTGGCCATCTTACCAGAACCTATGTACCCTTTAAGACTTGAGCCCGATCTGAGCTTCATATGTAAATCACGTTGATGATGTGTCAGGTGATCCCTGCAACACCATAAATGAGTGGGACAAGCACGTTTGCAGTCAAACAGATATGGGGAAAGACAAATATACTGCACGATTCAAAAGAAGCATGATAGTGGGTACACATCCAGCAGATGCTATAGTGGCCAAGACAGTATCATTGGTAGGATGCCCTTAGACATTTGTGTTTATCAGCAACGGAAGGAAAAGTTGAATAAAATATAAGCTGTGAGTGGGAAATTGTGGCTATAAACATGTAGTAAGAGAAAGATTGTTAGATAGGATGGTAAAATCAACCATCATCAAACAACAGATCAATTTACAGACATTCATTACTGGGCAATTCATCTCCAGCCATACCTTGCTAAAAAATATTGGACTATGGTAGTAGAAGACCATTGCATAAACTACTGAACTCAGTTACCAACAAGAAAAAATCCTTTTAGTACAAATATAACAGATATTGGATTAATAAGGACCGGTGAAAGAGATGTAGTCTAATGAATCAAGCTTTACCATTTTTTGCACAGTTAGGTGAAGACAGTTTGGAAAAAGGCACAAGAATAACTCAACCTCTCTTTTGTGGTCCCATCTGTCCACACCTCTGGTGGTGGAGTCACTGTTTTAGACATGTCTTCCTAACATACGCTGGGACTCTTTGCCCCTTTAAATAGCTGAATGTCCCAGCTTATCTCAACAATACTTCTGATCAAGTTCACATAATAATGCTTCATGTGCACTCTGATTGGAACAGCTTCTTCTGAGGAACAATGGTTCCACCTACTGTGCCCAAATTGTGCATGCATGGTTTGAGGAACATAAAGGAGACTTCAGACATCCCCCATGATTCCATGAATCCCAATCTAACTGAGCATCTCTGGGATGAGCCTGAAAGACACATTCACATCATTCTCTGCCTACCTCACTGAATGAACTGCATACAATATTAATGGCTGAATGGGGATAAATCCCTCGGGACAATTTCCAGCACCTTGTGGATTCTATGCACTATATTGTATAATGATTGTTATGCAAGCAAAATGTGGTCCAATCTGTTATTAGGTAAGGTCCTAATAAATTTGCCAACAAGGCAGTGTGTGTTTCTGTGTGAATAAATAGCCTTAATACTATTAGTTACATTAATTGTTAATAGATGATTAAATCAGCACTATAAAACAATAATGAACCTAATATTAGTATAATTTGTAATATTAGTATTATTATAAGTATTGCAGTAGAATCGTCATTGTCAGTCCCAGTTGTCAACCTGATGTCATAACGTATAATGCTTGTGGTAATAGCTCCCAAATGCATTGAGGATATCCCATCTATCACACAAAATCCAAATGCTGATGTTAAACTAGCCAGATATCATGGAAAATCAATTAGGGGTAAGGAGTTGAGTGCTTACACCCACAATGTCTCAACTCCTACTACCATTCACGGTCTGCAGCCAGTTGTGGGAAGGCAGTTACCCTTAGAGTTCTTAAAGTCGAAATGAAACTGCATTAAAATTTCTACTATCTGAAACCTCCACCCTTACAAAAAGATATTAAACAGAACTAAATGATCTTAAAGAGAACTACAAACCCAACCTTAATAGTTCTTACATACCCACCCTCCTCCCTTTCTCTTGAAGATTTATTCAAGTATAACACGGAAAAGCCGAGACAAGTATACAATTTTGGTCTCCTTCTTTATCTAAGAAAGGAAATTAACTTACTGGAAGAGTTTCACAGCGGGGTCATTATGATGAATCAAGGAATACACACATTTCCTTTCAGATAACATAAGATCACTTATTTTGTAAAGAGAAAAGGAGAGTAAGAGGTAATATTACTGAAGCTTACAAGATTATCTAGAGGGTTAATAGGAAAAAAAACACTTTGATTTATTTGTGCTATATTCTGAAGATAGGACAAGAGGATACTAATGCAAGATCATGAAAAAGGCATCAGCAGTAGTAGAGGCTAATACTTTTCAGAAGTTAAAAGAGGAATTGATCATTTATTGAAAAGTAAAAGAATGGGTTTAAATTCTTACTTTTTTTCAAAAAAGATTTGAGTGTACAAGGACAGACAGCCTTGAGGAATCAAACATTCCCTCGTTGTCCATAGGTTATATTATGTTAAAAGCTGCGGCCAAAAAAGACCGTGTAGGTATTATATCAAATAATAAAGCCTTTAATTGGTGAAGCAGTAAGATTCACTTTCGATTTAATCATAAACCTGCAAGAAAAATGTCAAATTTTGATTAAAGTTGACCACGACACTGATTAAATGTCAACAACAAATATATTCCATAAATCTCAAATTGAATTTTTATGTCACTCGCTACCAGTGAGGTCAAAGTATTGCATCATCTAACCTATATAAAAACCAGTGTGTGTCACATCACGCTTGATTTCTCAAAATAGGAGGAATCCAGACAGATACGCTAGTTGTTAGCAATTTTAAGTTTTTTTCCTGTTATAACCGATAAAGGAATTGGATGAAATCACTCAGTTTAATGTAAGATACACTTGGAACTCCACTAGTAAACAGTGGGTTTAATGGAATATTGATGATACCTTAGTTTTAAAAACAATTGTCTCATATATTATTACGGGCCCAGTAACCAACAAAATCTATGATCAATTTCCTGCATAAGCAGTTTAGAAAGAGGTTTAAATTAATGATTAGTTCTTCACCCCCTTTGGTAAACTTAGGGTTTAAAACACTGCCTCTAGCCAATGACTGAGAATAATCAGTTGAAAGCTATAACTGCTAACATTTTCTTCAGCACTTTTTAACAAAGCAACATGAGCAATTATGATTATAAATATTATGAACAGATCTCAAAATATTTATGAAAGTGGTAAAATTGGAAAAAAAATGGCAAGCATAAGTTAATGTTACAAACATCCCACCATCCTCAGGTTATTAAAAAGCAATTTAAGCAAAGCAGTAGTTTTGTTTACTTGAGAATAAAAAATCAAGCAGTTAAGCACTTCAGTTCAAATGATAATTTCAGGCTTGTTATTTCATAAAAGGTTACTGTAAAGATGCTGCATACAAATCAAGTTTCAACCCTGGCATTCAAAAGATCTTTGAACTGATAAATATATATATATATATACAAAGAGAGAGAGATAAAAGTTGAAAATATAGGCAATCTGCACTGTAGTATGAACTATTATAATGATTGAGTTTATGGTCTATAACACATCCTTCACATAAGGTGTATAATTTCAGTAGCAAAGAAATCCAGTGACAGATAACAGCAGTTCGATGTAAACTGACTAAAAAATGTTCTTTAAAAACTTGTTTCAAAGCCAAAGTTGATTTAATTTCAGGTATCATTTCAAAGTTTCATTACTTGCTTTTATAATTTAAGATAACTAAATTAAAAACTTTCAAGTATTACACAAAGAAGATACATTTATTCTCCTAACATTGTTCTTAAAAAGAATTAGAAACTCACCACACTGTAGCAAGATTGAAGATTATTTTTAGGGGACACAGTATACAGAGGTTTTCTCTCCCACGAATAAAGCTCCATATTACGATCCAGGTGGGACCATGTTATATAGGGCAAACTGACATTTAACGCCACAATGCTGTTTGCAACCTACAAGATGCAGAATGTCACCGATTACTCAGTGTGATATTCTAGAGTGTAGAAAGTTTAATTTTAAATTAGTTTATCTTAATTAAGTCACTTAAAAGTATTCTCATTTATAACCAAATCATTTACATAGTTTTCATTATTTTCTGAAATATACTGTTAAACATGTTTAATAAAAACCTAAGAAAATATATGACAATCTAACTGGCAGATATAAACAAGTTTGAACTCTGAAATTCCATACGAATAACTGTTTAAACGTTAGAGATCTGTCTTTAATTGGAATCCAGCTTATATTCAAAACATTTAGGATCTAAAAACGTGAAGCTTAGTATACAATATTTGTTTTACGTTTATGTATTTCTAAAGTACAGTAGAATTTTGAAGGTTCAATAAGACAATATTTTTCAACATATTGACTTTAAATACAGAAAATACAGTCTATAGCATAAAAGAATAAACACACTCTTTGACTGCTAATGCTGTGATATGATTTCATGAAATTTTCATTCTTCAATATAGATTCACAAATTTTGAGATTTCCCACTTTTAACAAAGTGTCCACCTGTATATTAATATCATGCTTAGGATATCACGAGCTGCATAATTTGTGTGATTCACTTGCCTAGTTTTACTTTAACTAAATGTGCATGATGTCGGTCTGTTGAAGTGGTCTCCAAACTCTTTTAGATTGAGGCTCCCTTGATGCAAGTAAGAAAGTTTGCGGCCCCCAACCTGTAACTTTAGCGTGGTGATCAAAAAACATCTCCTTTCAACACTTAATTAATTCAACATAATTTTTATTGACTTATTGTTTATTTAGAATTTAGAATTAATTCAGTACCTTTGTTTTTGAACCCCCAGAAAAAGCTTCACAGCCCTCCAGGGAGGCACAGCTTCCCACTTTGGGAAACACATTGGTCTAACACTGGAGAAGGAATGTTGACTATAATGCCAGATTGCACAAATTGATTTTTCCTTATTAAAATGCTTTCTTGAAGATGAATAACTTTTAATGGAACTTTTTTTCGAACATCAGAATTTAATTGTGCACTTGATTTTATTTTTTACCCTTAGGTTTGAGGAATATTTTTTGTTTATTTATCTGCCAAAGATATAAGGTACTCACAATTACTCACGATCGATTGTATCAACTTTAAATTTTGTATATTTTTAACTGATATTAGGTACTCACGATCTACTGTTTCAACTTTAAATTTGTATATTTTTAACTGATATTGGGTACTCACAATTACTCATGATCGACTGTTTCAACTTTAAATTTTGTATATTTTTAACTGACATTAGGTACAGTTTTAAAAGACAGTATCTAAAGAAATCTAACCATTAAAATAATTGACTACAGTCTGCTTTGTGTTAATGTCATGCAAAGCTAGTTGACTGTTCAGATAACTGATTATACTACTATTACGTACTATCGGTACTTTCAACGGAAGAAATATGCCTTTAGAAAGATTACATACCTCACACTTTGCCTTGGAAAGTGACGGAGAAACTATTGATTTTCTGTCAATCTTTACGGTCCTACATTTCCTCAAGGAACCTTTCGCTTGCACACTATCGCAAAAATGTCGAACAGTTCGTAACTTAAGTCTCTGTAACTTCATCATTTTTGTAGAAAAAGGATTCTGAAAAATATTAGGGGATAATGAACACACTGTTTGTTTTTGAGTGAACACAGTATAAAGTCTTGAACACTTTTTCACACTCTCCAAAACAGCAGAATCAATTTGTAAACACTGAATATCAGCAAAAAGTAAGTTTACTATCAATATAATGAGCATTTTTTACCTTCACTTCAACATTATCAAGAAAATATACAATATTCACTACAAAATGTTGGCACAGAACTAAACCATAACACAATTATGTTGTTTCTGGAAATAATGATCACCTGTATGTACAAGTATAAAATAAATTTGAATATTAAAAGCTAATAAGAGCTTTAACACATACTGATAGAAGCACATTTTACAAAACAGTAAAATACGATTACTGACTACCTAAAAAATCAAGTCCACTCCATGTGATGAACTCAACAACCGTTATTCCAATTTATATACATTTTTGTTTATTGTTGAAAACCATAGTAAAGCTCCTACATTCAATCCTAATTTGAATAAAAACTACAAAATGTTCTGTAAATAGAGACCCTAGATGAAAAGTCTATCACACTTAAATTCATAATTATCCAGAATCTTTCGTTCAAATGTTTAGCTCATATTAAAACTTAGTGTATGTATTATATTCAGCACTTGTTACATTTTAACAAAAATCGTGCATGTATGTTACTAATAGCAGTAAAATAAGAATACAACAAAAAGTCAAAATGGAACTTAGGGCTTTCTGCCCATCAGCCTCCACCTAAAAAAGAACTACTGCTAAATTTTTAAATTTAAGTCACCTAATATACAGCCCTTCACATGAACCATATATATATATCCAAATAACAAAACCTTCCAAGTTACATGTAGACTGCATCTAGATTTCCATAGCTTAACAGTTACAAAATTCTAAGTCTCTTCTCGTAGCTCAAATTAGTGATTTTTAACTCATTATAGACGTACTACTGGTAGTAATGAGAATTTGGGAGATGATATACCTAATGATTATTCAAAAAAAAAAGGAAAACTTAAAATTATTATATGTTGTTCCATTTTTCACTATCTTTTTTTAAAACATAGCATACAGATAACAGTATACTATGACAGTCTTAAAAAGCTGTTCTTACACACCCACCCCTGAAGAAAAAAAACACATTTAAAACCCCCTATTTTTTTTCAGGAATTCATCAGTTTCCTTCTTAAAATTCTGTTCCATGCCACCTCCATTACTATGTATGGCAAATTTTTCCACAAGCTAACCACAATAAACATTTATACCCACTGACTGCAAAATTCAGATTTATCCCACATCTATCAAAAAAATTTTCCCTCTACTGCAACATGCAGGAATATCCCCCCGTACTTGAAACAATCGCCAAACCTGTGTGCTTGCTGCCATCTGTGTTTTACGCTGTGAAACCTGGATGTTTATATGCCTCATTAGAAAATTGCCAACTTTGCAGAAACACATATAGAATCTATATGATGACAGCTTCTTTATATCTTGGATATTGTTATCTCAATAATTTGTTATATATTTTGTAATGATTTTGGCCTCTTATTGACTTAGTTTTGCCTATCTTTATGTCATTTACTGGAGAACACTTTTCTTCTAATTTTCCTCATTTTTTTTGTTAAAATTATTAATTTTCACTATCCAATACAGTTTTCAAGAAATATTACTGTCAGAGAGAAAAAATACAGCATCTTTCAATATTGAAAAAGTAATACAAAAGGTCAAATTCATATTTTTATTTTTTGGTGGATAATTGACACATTTTTGGGGAATCAGCCCAAAAATTAATTGTGCAGTGAAAGGGTTAATAAAGAAGAAAACCCACTCAATAGCATGACTTAAGTAAAGGATCTTACCAAAGTGGTTGATAAGTCACTCGAACCATCAAGGCAATGATCTGTTGGTAGTAGTGAAACTAATAGAATTTTAGGGTGTACTTATAGACATAATTGATTACAAGTAAGAACAGACGTAAGCATCTCTCTATCAAAATCACTGCTTAAGACTCACTTGGTATGAATACAGTACAGTTTGGTCTCCTTATCTTAGAAAGTATAATAACTTATTTAGATGGGTAAAAGGTGTTCTTATTGAAGTTTACAAGATTATCCAAGAGGTCAATGTCTCCGATTTCTTTATATTACATTCTGGATACAACAGAACAAAATTTTAAGATTTGGAAAAAAAAAGACAGGATTGGCTTCAGTTAAGACAGTTTTACTTTTTAACAAGGTGATTAACTTATGGAAACTCCAAAGAAAGAGGGCAATTAAGGAATAGATGGATTGATGGCTGAAACTCTGAATAAACACAGCTTTACACTGACCCAGGCTTCTCACCTTGCTTTGGAATGGTAACTGTATCTTCCCGCAACACTTAATGGCAAATGCGGAAGGAAAAAGTAAAATAATTAACTTATGGAAAGAGTAGCCATCAGCAGTAGTGGAGGCTGGCATTTTACAGCTTTAAAAGGGGAGTTAATGAGTTCCTGAAAAATAAAAGGGTGTGGTTATATATTTAACTGTTCTTAAGGATGGGTGTAAAGAACAACCTTGAAGGACCAAATGGTCCCTCTTTTGTCAATATGTTATATATATTCTAACTTGAAGTCAAACTTACTGATCAATCTCTTATGAGGCACCTTAAGAAAGTTTCCTCAAAGTCAGGATTAACAGCATCAACTGGGATGCTGTCATGATATAGGTGAAGACTCTGTCCAAAAAAAAACTCCAACTCGGTAAGATAAGAAAACGTTTTCCTCAACCATACCAAGGACCATTCATCAGATGGAAACTTCATAAATAATTTCTGAAAACAGACTCCAACATCTTTCTAACAACTAACATTCATAGATAATAGGCTTATACTAGTTTTCCTGAGCCTCCCTAGACCTTATTTCTTCTTCTTATGATAAACCCACAGGGATTATGCAGCCATTTTTTTCAGTCATTGTCAATTTTCCCAATGTCAAGGAACTTCTGAAAATAATACTATTAATAGTTAAAAACCCTAGCGTTTGCTAAGCTCCTTCAAAGATTTTAGGTGAATGTCACTGTGACCAAATTTGATTCTGAAGAAAGCATCAAGGTATCATATTCATACTTATTTTTAAAAAAAGTAAAATTGAGCTCAGATTATAATTTAATTACATATAGTTACTAAGTTAGTATCTACCAGTGTCAAAACATTTGCCTACTTAGAAACAGGCTAAAAGTAAAACTAATGTCACAAAAATAAAAAATACAAACCTAGAACACAGTTAACAATAGTATTAACACTAACTTGACTAAGTTTAAGTACTGCTAGTATTAGCAGTATTAAAAACTATTACTTTAGGACTTCTAGAAATATTAATAACATTACCAGTTGCTTAATGTTTATGTTAAATTTTCCGTTACATCATTTATAATAAGAAAAGCTTCCGCAAACTTCTTTAATTAAACCGTCTTTTAGGGTTAGGCAAATTATATTTTAGTTTTTGCCGTTTAACATCGTGTTATTTCAACCACACTTTCAGTCGCCTAAACGTAATTTCATTATTTATTACTAACAACACAGTCTAACGACTTTAATTACTAAGCTTTAATTTGTCATAATGAATGTGTATATATATATATTCAATCGATAAGACTATTAAAATTATTTCTGGATATTCTGAGAAATAAGCATAAAATTTCATAAAAGTATGAGGAAAGACCTCATTATAGCCTCGAACCGCTATAAAATTTTAAAGTTTCTAGGGAACACGCATACAGACATAAACATACACACACATTTTCACCGAAAACTTTAATGGGTATATAAGAACTCACTAAGAGAAACAACTACAAAAGATATCAATGATCAATATACAATAATTATATCCCAACATAAGCGTTTTTAAATATTAGAATCAAAATAACGTTTGGAGTGAAAGATGAATGAAAAATAAATTATCTAGGGCAGCGGTGTCCAACAGTTTTTTCATAATCGTCAAAATTGTGGAGAATGTGTTAACGTTTTCGCCACGCAACAAAAAATTAACTGTGTTTTTATAGATATAGAGGGGTACAAATCTTCGAAGTAAGGTTTCTCCAGTATTTTATCCTCAAAAGAAATAAAAAAGTGGATATTTTTTTAAACTGGTACATGTATAAATGAATTTTATTAAAAATTATATTTAAAAAATTGGTGGTAGAAGTAAAGCACCAATTCGCCACAAGTGAATAGCCGTTTCGTCAAATGTGGCGAGTGGCGACCGTGTTGGACACCACTGATCTATTGTAAATGACTTTGGTATTTTCAACCTGAATGGCACCTTATGCGCATTAGGGCTAAACACTGCAGTTAGAGATCCGTAGGGTTGAAGCCTAGCCATCCATAATTTTGAACTACTGTCAAGAGGGAAAGTAGCAGCACCTGCCGATTTTGAACCGAATAAATGGATTAATTGTCACTTTTATAACGTGCACAGTGCTGAATTTGTGAAGCGAGTTCAACGGCATCACGGCACATACCTTAGCCACTTGGGAACATCATATTTCTAAGGTAACTGACTAATTGTAACTTTATATGAAATTATTAATAAGTCACTCAATCTTACATGTTTATCTTTCGTATAAAATCAAAACAAAAATCACTAATATAAAAGGCTTATTCCCTTTGTCACTTTGTCGAGAACGCTTTCACGCTCCTTTTTTGGTAATGCCCAACAATGTACATAGTCGCTTAGCAACAAAACTATCACCTAATTGTTCTTAGCCCAACTATGGTACTGTTACGTCTCCGTTCGTTAATTAACTTTCCGTAATTTTGTTCCGACGAAACTTTAGCGACACAAGTCCTTACTTAATAAAACTGGTTTATTCTTTCCGAATACAACTTTACGATACACTTATTTTCAACAGTCGCTCTATAACAAACGCTATATCAACGAACGTCAACAATACTTCTGACTGCAGTTCAATTACTCACTATCTACACACACATTATCCTGTCACGTTGTCACCCTCTTTTATATACCAGACTACCCTATATCTAGTAAATGCTAGAGCATTCGCCAAGGTACAGGATAGTTCTAGAAAGCAGAGGGCGTGAGAATAGTCACGTGATCTCGCTGACGCAACAGTATTTATATTGAATGCTAAATGTTCATTTCATGTTGATTTGTTAGAAATGTTTTTCTTTCTTTCTTTTTTATAAGTTCGTGATATAACAGCAAAATAGATTAATTAAGAAGTCTTATGACGTGGAGTTGTAGCCAATAGCAAAATAAAATTTACCAAGTAGTGTTTCAGCTAACCCTTACCTTACGTTTATTACTTTATGTATTAATTAAATTACACTACAAATACCCCTACCATTACTAACGTTATAGAGTCAGTGTTTAAAATGTTTTAAGTGGTGAATAAATGTTAATGAATATTCTTTTGGTATTTTAACACTTACATTATCTAATTGACCTTAAAAAATAAAGAAAAATATACGTCTATTACTACCAACTATCATTTGTCCTTTGTACAGTCGAAAGAGTTGAAACTTTGTGTCGGAATGTCCGCACTATGTTTTCTACTTCCTGACATAGAATACAGTGAAAAGGCTTAAAAGTGCTATTTAAGTCTTTCAGAGTGCACACTTACTTTTGTTCACGATAACATTTCATTTTTCTGCTTGGTTTTTACAAAAAATGTAATGATTAAAAAATTACTTCAAGACTGATGAAATAAATGAAGAGTAGGTGCATTTTGGAGGTACAGACAAATTCGTTTTAGCTAAATTATATAATTTCTTTTCATCATTCAATAATGGTTTCCCGTCATTTTTGACGGGCTTTTTTTTACTAGTTCATCGATTAGGTTCTTAAACTTATCGTGCATCTTAATTTTAATATATTTGAGTTGAAGTTATATTTCTTTGTCTAAAAGAGGGAAATTTTTAAACGTTAAAATAAATAGCACAAAAATTACCATGTGAAAATATTGACTCATAAAAAACTCAAAACTTTACCTTTAAATGTTGTTTGTTATTAAGCACAAAGCTACTCTGCCTACCAGGCCCGGCATGACCAGGTGGTTAGGGCACTCGACTCGAAATCTGAGGGTCGCGGGTTCGAATCCCCGTCCCACCAAACATGCTCGCCCTTTCAGCCGTGGGGGCGTTATAATGTGACGGTCAATCCCACTATTCGTTGATAAAAGAGTAGCCCAAAAGTTGGCGGTGGGTGGTGATGACTAGCTGCCTTCCCTCTAGTCTTACACTGCTAAATTAGGGACGGCTAGCGCAGATAGCCCTCGTGTAGCTTTGCGCGAAATTCAAAAACAAACAAACAAGCTGCGTACCATGGCTATTAAAAGTTTGTTTCTTGTGGTATAAATCCGCAGACATGCCGCTGTGCTACTAGGGAACACTTTTACGTAATACTGTTATGTTTCTTAAACGAATTTCCTTCAGTAATTTATCGGTGAAAGGCACTCTTGAAAAATAATAACAGTCTTATAACTCAAAACAAGTTATGTTTATACTACCCCGTGTTTCGCTTATAACTTCATTAAGGGTGTATATAAGCCCAAACCAAAACAGCTAGTTAATATGCATATTACTGAGTTTGGTTAAATTATTACTAGTGTTTAATTTCTGCCGGATCTAAAATCCGGAATGTGTTTTTGAGCTATGTAAAGACGAACACAGTTTAATTAATTTGAAAACTGTTATGTTTGTACTGCGAAATGGTATTTGACTGAGGTAGTCAAGTACATCACCCCCTTCCAACCAAATCTCAAATAATAACATAAAAAATGTCTAAATTGTTATCTTCAATAACTCAAAATTTCGCAACAGGATTTGGTAATATTTTTTTTTTTTTTCTTAAGAAACATAATCCGTTTGTGACATTAACCAGAGAACTAAAGGAGATTACTGAGATTGATTTTATCACTTCACACTTCATCAACGTAAATACACATGCATAAAACTTTGTATAGTAAATATAAAAGGTTTTACGATATGCCTGTAATTTATACATGTATCTATAAATGTTCTGAAATATAATGAACATCAAAGCTGCGGGAAGAAACACACAGCTAACACATTTGGCATGCACGTGTGCTTTTATTTCTACAGTTTTTCACCGACTTACTAATAGGTGGGACAGTTGTCTCAGGGCCCAAGCCGACCAAAAGCCCCTCAAAACTTGTATTTGAAATTTTGAATATTGGAATTTGAAGAAAATAAATTTAGACACGGAAAAAGTTTTGATGGAAGGACAAAAATGTTTGCCCTATGACCCTTTGAGACCTAGTTACAGCACTGCAGTTTTCACGTTATTTTAAAATACCTTAAATTACTAATGAAAGTTCTGTAACATTTAGATAGTTATCCAAAGCTGGCTTTTTGTGCCGAATATGAAGAGTTTCCTAAATTCTCTCTAATGTCCCATCATCTGTGTTTGCAATGATCTTGAACATATTTTGAGACGCTACCAAATAATAATAAGCTAACGCATGTTGAACAATTCTTGAATTGCCATTAGACCTCAAATGACTATTCTTTTATACATTCCGCTAGACTTCTTATTGTGGAATCGATATAAGCGTCTTCACACGTTGGTCAACGAAATTCGTAAAATACACACGATTATTTAGGAAGATAAATCTTACCTTTAATTACGAAATTGACAAGAATAAGAATCGATGTTACACCTATATATTTGCTCAATTCGTGGATAAACTCTTCTTATAGTTGCATTCAATTTTTTTTATTGCCCCCAAGTGGCATAGCGGTATGTCTGTGGACGTACTACTCTAGATTGTTTGTTTGTTTGTTTTGAATTTCGCGCAAAGCTACACGAGGGCTATCTGCGCTAGCCGTCCCTAATTTAGCAGTGTAAGACTAGATGGACAGCAGCTAGTCATCACCACCCACCGCCAACTCTTGGGCTACTCTTTTACCAACGAATAGTGGGATTGACCGTCACATTATAACGCCCCACGGCTGAAAGGGCGAGCGTGTTTGGTATGACGGGGATTCGAACCCGCGACCCTCAGATTTCGAGTCGAGCGCCCTAACCACCTGGCCATGCCGGGCCACCACTCTAGAAACCACGTTTCGACACCCGTTGTGGGCAGAGCCCATATAGCCCAATGGCTAGATTTGTGCTTAATCACAATCAACTAAATTCTTTTGATTTGACTGGAGTGAATACCAGTATACGGTAGAATTACGAACTCTGGCATTTTGGGGATATAAAAGGTTAATTACGAAAGAATGGAAACTAGCTTTGCCATTTTTCTCAACATTAGACTTGACATTTTGAAAATCAATTCATGTTCAAAAATGATATAAATTATTCAGTTCTTGTTGGGTAATAATGTGATATAAATCAATCGAAGTGTGAGTAAAGTCTAATATTTGTTGTCTTATGATAAACTTCAAGGTCATACTTCCATGTTTATTGCACACAAGTGTGTCCATAAATGGTAAAATGTTTATTTCCGCTACCATTTAGCGTTTAAACCTTAATTTTAGTTTTATACTGCATATATTAATAGCATTTCAGAGAAACTTTTGTTTCTCATTGCCCGGCTCAACTGATGTGTTCCAGTATTTACGAATGGCATCTCGAGCAGTGACTATTTTTACACATCTCCAATTTGGAAATCGAAATGGACACATTAAGAGGAATGTGGAAACAAGAAAACAGAGGCGAGCTTGAAATAAGGAAGAAAATTATGTGAAGATGTCAGGATTAAGAAAGTTATAAATAAAATAATACTTACATATTGTCATCGAAAACACTCAAGATCCCAACGAAATACCTTCAACTCAAATGACATAAGAAACGTTTTACGAAAATGAGAAATAATATCTTTACTTAAAAAGTTTGGTATAAAATAATTTCTCTCGGTTGTTTATACTCCTGAATTTGAGAAGTTAAGAACAGTTTACTGAATGATAAACTACTTTAGTTTTGCGTAAA